CTCTGGAATTCCTTATACAAATTATTAAGATCGTAAATCATTTATTAATTCGGATTACACCTGCACTTATCAATTTACAATAAATTGTCAGTTCATTTTATGATTATTTATCTGCACCGGTTAAAAAATCCTCATTCTTATCCTAATCAGGTGTGCAATGCAAACCTATATCGTCTTGGGCGACTTAAGAACTTGCCTGATCGAATGACAGCTGCTAAATTTGAGCCGAATGAAAATTGGGTGCCTCCCGGTTATTTTGTCCGGCATGACGCTCGCCTCGTATCTTCCAGTCACGATTATGGAACGGCCACTGTCTTTGAAGACTCGCTAGCCGCTCGTATAACTGATGATAGCTCTGATATCAGGGCCACTGTATCACGACCTATAGAAGTCAGAGAGATGGAAGATTTTCAAGATGCTGGACAGAATTCATCACATACTATTATTACCAGGAATGAAGGGCTGGACAACTTTGCAATAGGCACTTGGGAGCCGAGCAAAATGAGCTCAGTCATGGCGTCAGTTCCCCTCTACCTCTATTTATCTATGAATGTCAATCATTTAGACAACTAATCTTCAGAATTATGTTTCAAGTCTCCGTTTCTAATTATAAGGCAAAAGGTCTTTTTGTCACTAATTGGCGATACATTTTTTTTTATTACATTGGGCATTTAATACCTATATGACAAGCTGATTGATACATATTTCACCTGCATAAATCAAATGCATTTTAGCTACGCTTTAGATCTTGAATTTCAAAGCTTATAGTCTAAGTCGAATTATCTTACGTGATATGAAGAAAAACAGTTTTACGTGATCTCTTTTCAATGCCCTCAATGATACGGTTTTACTTTTATTTAGTTCGCTTCACTTGGCCGTTTATCATATCTCAGTATCAGTATTTTTGGGCTTAGTCGAGACCTTTGTACACTATTGTTGGGGGGCTTTCATTTCGTATGAAAGTGCATGAAGAAGAGGTTCGTAGATCGATCTCATTAGAAGAAGAGGGCTGACTCACTTTGTACTTCAGCTGTTTGGCTTATTTACAACTTTCAAGTCGACGTAGTCCATGAGATCTCCTCCTCCGTTTCGGGTGAAAACGCACTTATATTTCGTCCATCATATGATGAACATCATCAGAGCTGGAACTCTAGGACTCTATCTTACTTCTTATATAGACTCAATTGAACAAAAGACAATAAAAAAGCTTAAATCGATATAGAAT